GTATTTTAAAACTTCAAGGTACATTTTAATTTGATAAGGTAGCTTATAAAGGTATTTTCTTCATTTTTTCAGTTGAGCAAAATCCTAAGCTACTTGACTTTACCCAAGAACCACTGGGTTACATTCTGCAGTTTATGATCTGTAGCCAGTAAGTCTGATCACAGGGGCTCCTTTCAGTCTTCAAATGTGAAAAGCTTGGAATGGCAATAAACTGTATCTAAACATAGAGCTAAACACATTTTTATTTGGTAACAGTTACTGCATAATAGAAACACGAGCAGTAGAACACAAAGGATGACCATTAGGATGAGGACAGCACAAGAAACAACCTTTTTATTTTATAGCTACCATTACCACCTTTTTCACTGAAATATACCGCTGCTTAATTATTTGTTTAAAAAAAACCCCAAAACACAACAACAAAAAACAAACCACCACTTGTTTAGAACAGTTTTTTTTTTTTTTTTTCCTTGCATCATTTTCTAGTTATCTGCCTCAACAGAACACTGCTGTCTTCCCACCCTTCTGCAAAACATTTCTCATTATTACTTTCTGAAAACACAGCAGATTGGGGTTATCAGCATGTGAAATATTTATCTTCCATGCTGGAATTTTCTATATTTGATCTGTACTCAAAGGTGATTTTTAAGCTTTAACCAAAATCTCTTCAGCCATCTAAATCTTGAAAGAAGGTTGGAGGTGGGAGAGGGATTTGTGTATTCTGCAGATCTTATCTAAAATATATATACGCACACACTAATGAAGGCAAAGTTTGCAAAGCGAAGCAGCATCTTTTATCAGATTGACAGAGCTCAATATAAAAAGGCAAGATTCTGACACCTCAGATAAAAATTTTCAAGAATAACTTATGTAAGAGTCTGAGTAAGGTGCTTTTGGAACTTTTACCTTTTGACCCTTCGTGGTATCAAATGCATTTTGTGCTTTTCTAAAATAAAAGGAGGAAAGCTGCTGCTAGCACAATTTATGTAGGACTGAAAGCATCTGTGTAGCACACCTGTAGTAAAAGCTTTCTGAATCTGATAAGAAGGAAGAAAAAAAAAAAAAAAAGTCCTAAGCCCTAGAATACTGGCTGCACTGTGAATTACCGAAGTTTTAGTTTTCCTCAGTGTGACTCTACAGCCAGAACAACATCATACAGATACACAGCTGTTTAGATATTCCAGGACTGAAGGGACTATCCTATGAAAAGAAATACAGACACAAATTCCTTATGCCATTCAACTCAGTTGTGTATAAACATCCAAGCCTATTATATTGATAACACCAAGAACAAGGGGAAATTTTTCCAGAAGTGTTGAATAATTAAGTATTCTGAATTGTTTTACAATTCCTACATTTGATTAGAGTAATAGCTATTTCATAACAGAGGAGGCCTTTGAAAGAAATAGTATCAAAGAATCGAAGCTTTTAAACATTCTTAAATACCAATGGCCAAAACATTTTTCTTTTGCAAAGTCAAGTGAATTGAAATATAAAATGCACAAGGATCCATTCTACTTGAGGAGTGATGTCCTCTTACTGTAACAGCACTTTGAGGACAGCAGTGCTTAAGTGTGTTATAAAGTTACCATCATACCTAACATTGACAAGCTGGGGATCTGCCTTTTGACATCGAGAGCAGAAGTAAGTCATCCTGTTATTCTCTCCTAAACGACACACAGTGATCTTCCCATTGCACTGACCGCAGGTTGGGCGCTTGTATACTTTGTAGTGTTTGTAAAGTGGAGACCCAGTTTTGCGGCACTAAAACAGAACACATTTAAAACCCAAGTCAGAGACCCAGTATAAATTTTATGTCAGTCCTTCTACAGTTCAGCTGAAGGTAAAATAAAAAAACCCTGCATAAACTGACGGCTCAATGACTACATAAAGATATTTAAGGCACACTCATAAAGGCTATAATCTATATTTCCTATTCTTTTATGAAAAGAATTGACTTTAAATCAGGTATAACAGTGTCTGGAATTCTCCACATAATGGAATAAAAGACACACAACAAAAACACATACTAGCATACTGAAAGCAAATATGTGCTAGGGACCCCCTGAGTTCAGCTGGACCAGCTAGCTCTGATTCAGCACCAGTCATCTTTGACCTGGCACCTGCAGGAGCTGATGAGCTGCAATCATTGCAGCATATAAAACAAACATAAAACACAATACCAACACCACCTTCCCTCACCCCCAGAAGAACCAAAACCACACCACGGAGACAGCTCAGACCTGACGCTACAGTCTGGGTTAATCATAGAATCATAGAATCATAGAATGTTTAGGGTTGGAAGGGACCACTAGTGGTCATCTAGTCCAACCCCCCTGCAGTGAGCAGGGACACTGCTAACTAGATCAGATTGCTCAGAGCCCCATCCAACCTGGCCTTGAATGTTTCCAGGGATGGGGCCTCCACTACCTCTCTGGGCAACCTGTTCCAGTGTTTTACCACCCTCATTGTAAAAAATTTCTTCCTTACCTCTAGCCTGAACCTACCCTGTTCTAGTTTAAAACCATTTCCCCTTGTCCTAACACAGCTGGCCCTATGAAAAAGACGTTCCCCATCTTTCCTATAGGCCCCCTTTAGGTACTGGAAGGCCGCAATCAGGTCTCCCCGTAGCCTCCTTTTCTCCAGGCTGAACAAGCCCAACTCTCTCAGCCTGTCCTCATAGGAGAGGTGCTCCAGCCCTCGGATCATTTTTGTCGCCCTCCTCTGGACCCGTTCCAACAGTTCTATGTCCTTCTTGTGCTGAGGGCTCCAGAGCTGGACGCAGTACTGCAGGTGAGGTCTCACCAGAGCTGAGGTATTGATACTGGGGGTTACCCCAACCCAGGTGCAGGACCTTGCACTTGGCCTTGTTGAACCTCATGAGGTTCACACAGGCCCACCTCTCTAGCCTGTCCAGGTCTCTCTGGATGACATCCCGTCCTGCTGGTGTGTCAACTGCACCACTCAGTTTGGTGTCATCCGCAAACTTGCTGAGGGTGCACTCGATCTCGCTGTCTAAGTCATTGATGAAAATGTTAAAGAGCACCGGTCCCAGTACGGACCCCTGAGGGACACCACTCGTCACTGATCTCCATCCGGACATTGAGCCATTGACCACTACCCTCTGGATGCGACCATCCAGCCAGTTCCTTATCCACCGAACAGTCCACCCATCAAATCCATAGCTCTCCAATTTAGAGAGAAGGATGTTGTGGGGGACCATGTCAAAGGCCTTGCAGAAGTCCAGATAGATGACATCCATTGGTTTCCCTCTGTCCACTGTTGACGTCACACCATCATAGAAAGCCACTAGGTTCGTCAGGCAGGACTTGCCCTTGGTGAAGCCATGCTGGCTATCTCGAATTATCTCCCTGGCCTCCATGTGCCTTAGCATAGCTAATCAACCTTCCCAAAACCTGAAGAACTGAGCACTGCAGAAATATTCCAGAGATTCTGTAGGAGTCAGGTAGCACCAGTAAAGCTGCTCAGCTTCATCTTAGCACTGGCCATGCCGGACAAGTTGGCTCACAAAAAGCCACTTGGCACTCTGGCGAGCTCCCCAGATCCTGGCAGAAAGTCAAATTAAGTACATTACAAGCCCAAAGGGCACAGTGACCTAAAGAGCCTCCAGAGGGCTGACAAGCAGGCACATTTCATGAGACAATTCACATGGAGTCAGCACAGCCATACCCCAGCTAAAACTGGCAGAACAACAACAACAAAAAAAAAAAGCAAACCCAAAAAACAAACAAGAAAAGCCCAGTAGAGGTGCAGCCAAGTCTGCAGAGCCACACGAGTTTCTGCGCTACAATCACAGTTCCTTGGGCACAGTTCAAACGATACCACAGCTAGCCCAGCAACACCGGCCCAGCTCTGGCAGGGTTTAATAGCTGTAGCTCCATAATGCATGAAGACCCTTGGAGTTTTCCCAAAATACAGGTGTCTGAGCACAGCATATTTGCTTCTGCTGTGCACTTACTCATCAGCCTTGCTGAATGAGAATGCTTTTGCCAGTACTATCCAGTAATTCAATCAGAAGGAATTACTAATATGTATTTGCATGAATATTCACAAGCAATTTGCTTTCTCCTCACGATTTCTCCTCAAGGTTTACAGATAGTTTATTATTAGTATTTTCCTCCCATCCAGTTATTTAAAAACCAAACAAAAGCAACAGCTTTCTACACGAACAAGATTCCTCACCTTTGCATCTGTAAGGTGTTACTACAAATTATGTAGTACGATTACTACAAACGTTCTATAGCAGTTTATAAAAAATGATCAAGCACTACCCCCTCTTATTAACCTATGTTCATTATGGTTTTTTAATCTTAAAGAGACTTGGTGGCGGGGGGTAGGTCTCCTTTAAAAGCACTTCACTGGTAAATACCTGCTAAGTATAGATTATAGAAGTCTTGAAAATGGCTAAGCTGAGCTACAGGAAGTTCAACTTGTTTGTTTATTGTCAGTCTAAAAGCCTGTGACACATTTAAATCTCCTGGTATTATAGTTGTTGCAGAACTGGATGCTATCTCTTTACTGGTAGACTTCTCTATGAAGTTTGGAGAATGAAAAGATTTCTCTAGACAACAGACTCAAGTATTCTTCAGTGGGTTGGGGGAAAGCAAACAGTTAAGCAAACTATTAAACAAATTACATTTTTAGCCTTTATGATTGAAAGGTGGCATTAGGAAAGTTAGGTGCCCTCCTCCTAGTCTACCAAAAAAAGACTCTAGCACTAGCAGCACTAGCTTCTTGCCCTTCATGAATACCAAGAGAAACAGACAAGAATTTCACTGCTGCTGTTCATTTCTCTGCATGCAGCTTAAAGAAGAAAAAACATACAAAAATTAAGTCAAGTTGTCTCTTTTCCTATTTTGGAAAGTTAAAGAGCAAGCAACCAGGAATTACAGAGTTTACAGGGGAAGAATGAAATCCCAGTAAAGTTGTGGCAGTAGGGAGAAGCTTGAATTTATTTCACTTTAGCAACAAAAAAAGTTGTTTCCGTTAGAAAAAAAAGTTGTTATAAGTTGCAATCTATTTAGTCAAATAAATATACTTGCTATCTCAAGTTTCATAAAGGAAACCACATGAATTACCTTCATACTTCCCTGGGGCAATCTCTAGTTTCCAGTTTGAAGAGTGACCTTTTTGTTATCTTACATATAAGTGTGTGCTTAACCTACATCAATTCTGACACGTTCACAGTGACGTTACAGCACATGCACAGCAAAACTGTACTGGCTCTCAAGCAGCATCTGTCAAACTCTGCTGCTGCAACTGGGCCAAGGCTAGGCACATTCTTACAGTCTAGACTCCCCCACCTTTCCATCATTTGGCAAGTCACAATTATTAAAGAGCACACAAACCAACATTCCTACTCATGGAAACATATGTCCTGTTGCATCTCTCTCTTTACTGTTTTCACCAGACAATCACATACAGCTAACAAGTTGGAATCAAGTTTTGGAGGTTTCTCAGAAACATGTGCAAATACCTTATAAAAAAGCAGGGTAAAATCGCGTGTCATTTTCACCAAGTGACGTATATGCTCATCTGTCAGTTGGCAAACCTGCAAATAAGACCAGAATGATTTTTAGAATATTACGATGCTAAGGGATAATAACGGAAAGACCTATAACACAGGGGCACTTTGAACACCTCCAGCTGATGTGGAATCGCATTGCTTCCTGTTATGATAGCTCTCTGACTTCACATTATATATATATCATCTCAGTAAACCAGTTAATTTTCACTTTCTATATTAAACAAATTCATTGTGTGAATACAAAACAATGTACTTTGTCTCATCCGTGTTAAACATTATGTAAAAATTTCAGTTGTTTTCCTCTATATGGACCTAAGAGTTCCTGATCACAGGAATCATGTGGAGTTAACAACACTTAGTTCCCTCTTAATTTCCTTGTGGATTATGATACGACCTACCAGAGGCTCTTTCCTGTGAGAGATCTTCAGGAAGAATACTTGAGCCAAAGGCATCACAATTAGAGAGATGCATCAACCAAACACATTTTTGTTAAGAACTCAAAATTTTAAGTCACATTTTTCTTTCCTCTGCCAGCTCACATTGCAGATACAATTAAATTCAGACTGATCCTATGAAGAACTTTCAGAAATATTATGTTTAAAAAAACCTTTCAGTTATTGTCTTCACCAGCTTTCCTTTACATTCTATGTAATCTCAATCTGTTTTGCAAACATCAGATTTCTTTTCAACCAAAGCTGAGACACATGCTTGAGTATGGTAAACAATGGCAGAAAAACAAATTATGTCAGCTAGCAGGACAGGAAGTGGAAGGAGCAGCTGCAAAAATAATCAACTCTACCATATAAACTGTTTTGTGTAGTAACTGAACTAAGAAAACCTGAGCACTCTTCACTTTCCTTTATTTACAGGCTGACAGTTTAACGGTAGTACCACAGGATGCCAGACAGACAAAGTCAGGATTTGAAAGTTAAATGAATTCCCTACTAAGGAGATGTTTCAAATTGTAAGAGAGAAGGCCCACAAAACATGACCACTCTGTGAGGTAGGAGTAGCAGCAACAGGTTCCAAGGAATGCCATGACAAATTTCTCCAGTTATAATGATAACACATTAATTTAGTGTCTTAGAATAACGTAAGAAATGACAGATGATAAAACAAAGGTAAGAAGATGACAAAATGTTTTATAAATATGTATTTACATTTTTAGTGCTTTGGTGTCATTAAAAATAATCTTGTCTTGAGACATTTCACCCACCTTAGCAGCTGGATGAAGACCACTGTCAAACAGTGCTTCATTTTTTATGATATTCCCCACTCCAGGTAATACTGCTTGATCCAGTAACACATCACACAACAAGCGCATTTTCTGCTGCTTAATCTCACTTTCTGCTCTTAAGCAGCTAAACTTTGGAGAACAGACATCCAAGCTTTCCATCATTCTTACTTTCTGCTCACTCTCAGCTGCATTTCTGGAAGAGAAAAATATATTGAGATTTATTTTTATTTTAATTATATGCTAATATAACAGTATGGTTTTAAAAAAAAACACATGAGAGTATAATGGAACATTATATGCAGATAACAGAAACCATGAAAATACCAGTGACAGGAAGAGGCACAGAAATTACATTAACCACTACTCCCAAAACCAGGTCAGTGACACATGTGTAGAACATGCATCTGGTCCAACATACAAGAAATTATCTTCATTTTGTTCATATTAGTTTGAAAAATAATTTCCAGGTCCCTACTTTAAAATTAATTCCAACATGGAAAGACCATGTGTTTGGACCATCGAGCACAACTAACTGATGTTATATGGTCCAGTAATTACAACATGACAATAAAAGATGTATTTTCTTAAACCTTGATTTTATTAGGTTAAGCATAACTATTTGAAAATAATACAGTACAAGCAGTGGAAATTAAAGGAGCAATGGGGTTCAGCACACAGATCTAAGGACAGAATTAAATCTAACTTTCATTCCCAGTCTTGACACTATCTAATGAGACTATGGTGTAGAACTACTTAACTGTTCGTAAACTGGTACAACAAGTAACAAAATTAAATTACCATACCAATAAATATGATATGTATAGAAAGTTCTTTTTTGCTGCTTTGTGTCTAAGATGGCATCCAAGCACTTAACAATTTGTGTGTGATGTTTCGCTATGTTCTTAAAAGAATGTTACAAAAAGCCGTGTTTAATTTTGTTAGTTTCTGCTTTACCTATACTCTACTGTCACCTCAAAAAACCAAACAGTATCCTCTGTAAGCTGTATCTCCAAAGCTGGTAGTGCTCCATTTCTGTCTTTGCTTCTATCAGGATTAATGCGCATGGAACCGTTCATACCGAAGTGAATCCTAGGAGAGAAAGAGAGTTCTTGTGAGTATTTTATATTAACAGTGTTTCCAAGCATTACACTAGTCTATTTTTTGAACTCATGAACTATTCTTACCTAACCAAGTCAGTATGTATGTACATTAATTCTAGTAACGAAGAGTAACAAAGCAACAAACTACTTACTTACATAGTGCTCAATTGCCAGAGCCCTCCCTGAGTCAAAACCACTCCAAAACACAGCGGATTTCCAGTGGGCTTCATAATTCACTATACAGAAGTCAAACCCAATCATTATGTAACACACTTTTCTGGTGTATTGCACTTAGAATTTTTTCATGAATAGTACTGCACAGGCTTAACTAGTCAAATTTCTTTCTAAACCAAGCTCTTGCACCTTGCTACCAAATGGTAATGCAGTAAATGCTTCCAGAAAGTTCTTTTAAAAGAAATAACATTCACATGAATAGCTGATGTTTTTCATTTACCAAGCTCCAGTCTACTGTGTAAAGGGAGCATTAAGAATCACAACTATTAGCTACCTTAGTGACCTGTCAGTTCATAACTAGAAAGAATAATTGAATCATCGCTACACATTTACACTCAAAAGCCTTAAGAAATTTACGAAATTTCACTCCAATGTATTTTGTTACCTTTGATGTCCTGAAATAGGGCAAACCAGAAATCTTCTCATTTTAATTACAATAGAAAAGCCATGCTAATTAAACCTAGGATCTGTTATTCAATGATGGCTATTAGTAAGAAGTTGGTGATTTTTTGTTGTTTTAAAGTAAAAAGCTGAGGGTTTAGAATTATTTAGTGCTATACAATATTGTAAGGATTTGCTTTTATTTAAAACATTTTTCCCCATGAAAATAAAAGATGAGTTGCAGCACAGTCAAACTATTATAAGGAGATGCAGAAAAAAGTGACAATTCACATTATCAAGTTCTAAGGGCCAAGATGTAATTTCCAGTCAAGACAATGGATGTCTTTCCTTTAAGAGATTTGGAGTCGACAATTTTCTCTTTCCTAAGAATATTTTTCTGGTTTCAGTTATGCAAAAACATATGTGCATTATCAATTTTCAGAAACTTTTCTAAACCATTTCTCTCTCCAAATTTACATTAATAGCACACTACAGAAACTAAACCCAGGACAACTTCTCACACATAACTGTATCATTTCCTTGGCAAAACATGCAGTCCATGCAAGTCTCTCCTGCACAGCTCAGCCTCACAAGTATCAGAGAGTTTTTTCAACTTTCATTGGTTAGTTAAGTGACTCGCAAGGCAAAACTGAAAAAAACCCCTCAGATTTTCAAAAAAAACATTGACTTTCTTCAGTGACTTTAATGTCCTTGTTTAAATGGAAATCAAAAAGTAGAAGTATTAATTTCTTCAGAAGGTGTCATTGCTCATTTGTACTCGTAAAAAAAGCTTCTACTGCCCACCATGGTTTGCAAATATACCATTCTGAACTTTGTTTGCTAATTGCTATCCACAACATGGCAACACTTCAGAAGTATCATTTGCAAGTCAGGCAAGAAGTAGCCAAACTGTACAAAACAATTTCATGGCCAGGTTATTGTCACCCACCAGGCAGTCATTCCCCACTTGAGAAAATCCAGGAGCATAAAATGAGTTAATTGCCCTTCATGGCCCAGTCTTTCACAAGACATGTTTTACTGACGTTATTCCAGCATGACTACCAGCTTTTTACAGGTAATCTTAGCAGATGAGAAAAGCTTGTGTTGTTATGTTGAGAAACTATATACAGATACAGAATCTGTGTATCAGTAACCTGCCTCAAGACAAGGAAGTCCTACATTTGAGTTAACTTTAATAATGAAATAATACATCCCTCTGAAGGGATATTCTTTATTTCCTCTCCCAGTAACAATCCTGGCAGCCAATTTTAGACTGCTCTAAGATGCATTTTCTGAAACCTTTCTCTACCTCCCATCAACATCTTTAAGATCATAGAATCATAGAATGTTTTGGGTTGGAAGGGACCCCTAGAGGTCATCTAGTCCGACCCCCCTGCAGTGAGCAGGGACACCGCTAACTAGATCAGGTTGCTCAGAGCCCCGTCCAACCTGGCCTTGAATGTTTCCAGGGATGGGGCCTCCACCACCTCTCTGGGCAACCCGTTCCAGTGTTTCACTACCCTCATTGGGAAGAATTTCTTCCTTATATCCAGTCTAAACCTACCCTGCTTCAGTTTAAAACCATTACCCCTTGTCCTGACACAGCTGGCCCTACTAAAAAGATTGTCCCCATCTTTCCTATAGGCCCCCTTTAGGTACTGAAAGGCCGCAATCAGGTCGCCCCGCAGCCTTCTCTTCTCCAGGCTGAACAAGCCCAACTCTCTCAGCCTGTCCTCATAGGAGAGGTGCTCCAGCCCCCGGATCATTTTTGTGACCCTCCTCTGGACCCGTTCCAACACTTCCATGTCCTTCTTGTGCTGAGGGCTCCAGAGCTGGACGCAGTACTGCAGGTGAGGGCTCACCAGAG